CACACACACACACACACACACACACACACACACACACACACACCAGCTGCAATGATGCTGACTCACCTCCAGGTTTGCAGTGAAGCCTCCAGCATCCTCATCTTTGTGCTCAGGTGTAGGGTAGATCCAGATGAAACCATTGTTACCCAGAATAACTGAAGCACCACACGGCAAGTCGTGGAAATGAGTCTTCTGTCGTTTCACCAGGGAAGGAGACACCTGGACTAAAACTCCCTGACCTAGCTAGAGACAGACCATAAGGCAGGCATGGTGGCGCACGCCTTTAATCCCAGCATTTGGGAGCCAGAGGCAGGCAGATCTCTGTGAGTTCAAGGCCAGCCTGGTCTACAGAGTGAGTTCCAGGACAGCCAGGGCTACACAAAACCTGTCTCAAGGCAAAGCAACAACAAAAGGAAAAAGGAAATGGATCAGAAGCCAGGTAGGGAAGCACAGCAGCTGAGAGGCTGAGGCAAGAGGCTTACTAGGCTGTCTGAGCTAGCTAGTAAGACCCCATTCCTCCACAAAAAAGAACAAGAAACAATAAGTGAGGATGAATGCAAAGTAGGTTACAGAATACACATCCTGACATACCTCATCATTGGCCTTCCTATGGATACTGTTGTCACCCAGTGCACACAGAGCATGCACTCTGCAGAAAACATTTCTGCCCACGGCTATTTACACATTCCAGAGAAGGTGGCAGTCAGGCTGATGAGATAGTGGTAAAGGTGCCTGCTGCCAAGCCTGACAAGCTGAGTTCAACCCCCAGAACTGAGTTCAATCTCACAGTAGGAGATAACCAACTCCTATAAGATGTCCTCTGACCTCCACACGTGCCATGGCATGCACATTTTAATTAAAAGAAAGAGGTCGTCAATACTCTGTCACTTCCCTTTGCCTTCTAATCCAGAGCAGGTGTGCTGGCTATTACAGAAACTAGAGCCAATGAGCAGTCCCCCACTGCCCACATAACAGTTTCATTCCATGATCCTAGTTTGGATCTTAACCTCAAATTTCCATGCCACCCATAAGACGTGGTTCACTGGATTAGTAAACCCATGCCTGGTCTTGACTGGTCAGCTCTAGGTCCTCACACCAATAAGAAGTGTCTAGAGCAACAGGCTGTGGAGGTCCGCACACACAACACCTCTTACATCAAGAACATGGCGACAGCTGCCACTTCATTAACGGACACAGCTTTTTGTTCCTCTTGGAAAATGAAAAGCCAAGAAACAACGACACCCTAATGTGTCCTAGGAAGCATGCTGTCTTTAAAATACGTGACCTCAATAATGGAAGCTCACAGAAGCAGGCAGATTTCATTTAGAGGCTGGGATGGGAAATCCATCTTTGCTAGCAGTACTGTCTGCCATGTTGACTGCACTGCAGACATGGTTCTGCGGACATGCAGCCAGCCTCTCAATTCCAGGTTGACATCTCCCAGAGGGAGCAGAGCCTCACAACCCCAAGTAGAGGGGCTCTGCCAGAACAGGCTCCTCAGGAGGAAAAGGATTTAGGACATTAATCACCCTTTGTCCTGCCACAGGTAGCAGAAGCCCCGTCTCCCCCAGGCCCTGTGAGCACAGTCAGCCATTAGTCCTAATCAACTGGGTTCTATGTTGTTGCTTTTTTAAGATGGGGGTTGTAGGGAGAGGTTGTCTCACTATGTCGTCCAGGCTGGTTTCCAATCTGTAATTCTACTTCAGCCTCCAGAGGGCCGGGATTACAGGGCTATGACACCGCACCCAGCTCCTACCAGGCCTTTAGGTCAGCAATGCCAGGAAGAAGTGGACTTGAAGCCTCCCAAGCCTGACTTACCTTTCCATATTTCAGGCTCCTTGTGTGCAGAGAAACAGCTCCATCCGAGAACACTGCCTGGACCTCCGCCTGCCCAGGTGATGAAGGAACAACAGCAGCCATGGCAACCCTCTCTGTCATCTGCATGCATCCAGCTTGCCCTCCACCAACAGGCCACCCTGCCCATCTTACATGACCCCAGGGGACATCACTATGACCTCACCTCTCCCCTTGGTTGGCAAGGGTATCTTGATACAATCTTTTCTACTCTCTGGGGTAAATGTTCCTATCATTTAGGAAACTTGAGGGCTGGGGAGGTGGCTCAGTGGGTAAAGAGAGTTGCCATCAAGCCTGTGACCTGAGTTTGATTCCTCAGGATTCACATGGTGGAAGAAAAGAACCAACTCGTACAAATTGTCCTGACCTCTACATGCACAGAATAGCAGTGATCGCACACATAAACAGTAAGTGTAATCAAATATTTTTTAAGATAAAAAATGAAATGTGGGTCCAAGCCAGGAATGATGGTCTATGCCTGAATCTCAGTACTCAGGAGGCTGAGACAGCAATGCCATATTTGAGGCTAGCCTGGGGTACACAGTGAGTTCAAAGCCAGCCTGGGATATCCTTAAAAAGGACAGAAAGACAACTGTGTCTAGCTTGCACCATGGATCACAAGTTACCAAAGCAAGGCATCGTTCTGAGCTAAGGAGAGAGCAAAGCTGCAGCCGAGGCCGGGACACCTGAGCCAGCTCAGACCCTGCGGTTCCTTTCCTCTGGTCAGAACACAAGCACGCTTGCAGCCCTGTAGGTCAGGATACACTGATGAGGTCTCCTTCCTGTAAGAAGCCTCTCATGGCCAGCTCGTCCTCGGCAGATCTTCTCCTCTGAAACACACAGGAGAAGGACCACATGACACAAGTCTCACACTCAGGAAGAGCTCTTTCCATCGCTGCTTTTGCTTGAGGCCTGTGAAGCCATGGTATGTTAACATGAAGAACTATGACAAGAGGGAACCTGAGTCGCTGGAGAACAAGGGAGATGATTCTGGCTCTCCAAAGAGGGAGAGCTAACCCAGACCCTCTGAGCTAACCCAGACCCTCTGCAGCTCAGAGTCTGTTTCCCACTCCCCCACACTTCCACCAGGCTGGGTCTGCTCATGTATCTCCTTCTTCTCAGAGTCCCTAGCCTCACCCACTCAGACTCCAGAGGCCCGCCTATGAACCCACCACTCCGCTCCATGTTTCTTCATCCTCCTGCCACCAAATGGCTCAGCCGTCTCCTGTCCTCCGCCATCTATAAGCTCTTTAAGGGGCTTAGGTGTGCCTCCTTTATTCTGGACTCTCCATAGGACCCAGCTTAGGAAGCCTCTCTGAAATATATGATGGAACTGAACCATCACTGTCTGGAATAACCAAATGCCATTCAAGTCATCAAAAACTAAAGACAGCAGGGCAGTGGTGGCACACGCCTTTAATCCCAGCACTCAGCAGGCAGGTGGATTTCTGTGAGTTCAAGGCCAGCCTGGTCTACAGAACGAGATCCAGGACAGGCTCCAAAGCTACACAGAGAAACCCTGTCTTGAAAAACAAAAAGAAAAGAAAGAAAAAGAAAACTTGGGCTGGAGAGATGGCTCAGAGGTTAAGAGCACTGACTTCTCTTCCAGAGGTCCTGAGTTCAATTCCCAGCAACCACAATGTGGCTCACAACCATCTGTAATGAGATCTGGTGCCCTCTTCTGGCCTGCAGTCATAATGCTGTATAAATAGTAAATAAATAAATCTTTAAAAAAAAGAAAACTAAAGACATGTGGGGCTCAGTGGTGCACACCTTTAATCCTAGCACTCGGGAGGCAGAGGCAGGTGGATTTCTGTGAGTTCCAGGCCAGCCTGGTCTACAGAGTGAGTTTCAAGATAGCCAGGACTACACAGAGAAACTCTGGCTCAACCCCAACTCCCGCACTGGCAAGAAAAAAAAGAAAGCTAAGGCCAGTCCTTCATGGACATCTTCCCTATGTAATGCCGATGCACCAAGAAAAGGAAATAAGCACCAAGATCTGGGGGCCTTTCTCCCCAGCTCCGTCTTGGGAGCCCACTCCACGGGTGTTTCTGCTCTTAACACACACTAGCTGCTGCCTATGTCGGAGACCAGGGCCAGGAGAAAAGCCTATGTTCACCAAGGCAGCAGACTCCATGGCAAACAGTGACGGTGTAAAGCAGAGTTCTATGGGAGAGCAAAAGCCCCACAGCTCAGCTGGACAGGTTCAGGGCAGGTAAGCACTCACCAGCTCCCCTCCGGGCAGGTTCATGGATGAGAGGAGCAAGACAGAGTCCAGCCTGGAATTGGTCTCCACTTTCCACCTCTTCTGTTGAACCTGTATGGAATGCAGGGCAGCATCTCAGGGCACCTTCTCATACAGCGTCTCACAGAATGAAGGTCCCATCTCCGGGCCACCAGCCTCCTTCACTTGGTAAAACGGCAACTTTACCTCTGTGATTCTCCCCACCACAATGTCTCCTACTTCTCCATTGTATCTGCAAGAGAAAGCAGAAGGTTGCTCAGTAGCCAGCGGGCTGCACAGACCAATCACTGTCTGAGACTGAGTCAACAGACGGGACTCAGTAAGTATCTTATTTAGGAAACAGGTGTAACTACAATGTTTAGACCTGGGGACTTCAGAATCTCTCTGTGTATTAGCTATCCTTAAAGAAATTGCTCATTGTGAGCCGTTCCTTTCGATTGCTTGATTATGTGACAAATTAAAAACACGGAGTACTCGCCTGTGAATAGGGATGAGTTCATCACCAAGCAATGGAGGAGAAAGGAGACTATGCAACTATCCATGGGGCTCCAACTGCCACCTCCCTGCTGCCTGCCTGGCTCAGGAACTCTGCTGGCCCCTCACCCTGATTCCAATGGTGAAGTGCTCTTTGCTAAAGCCCAGGCATTAGAGACTAGGTCTCCTTCTACTCCCAGGTCCCTCACCTGCCAGCAGCTGCTTCCCCTCTCCACAGCAACTGCTCTCTCCCATTCACCCCGGGTCAGTAAGTGCTTACCACCACCACCCTCATCCCCCACCCCAACTTCCCATGCCTAAGCCTAAACCTTAGAACATCAACCTTGGTTCCTGTCCCACTCTGGGGTAAGCTCAGCACAAATCCTGCTGCTGGCATCTTAAAATGCATGAAGGAAACAAAGACATCCAGACTGGAAAACAGGAACTAACCATCTCTATTCTGTTAACTTTCCTTGGACACATCAGTTACTACAAGTGAGCAAAGACATCCAGACTGGAAAACAGGAACTAACCATCTCTATTCTGTTAACTTTCCTTGGACACATCAGTTACTGCAAGTGAGCAATGTTCCTACAGAGAGAAAACCCCAAAGAATAAAGTCCAACACCCTTTCATGGAAAGACACTCAGAAAACAAAGTACACAGAGGAACTCGCCACTCCTCCTCCTCAGTGCTGTGCTGCCACCCTCGTGCGATCGCCACCGCTTTGTCATTCGCTAGATAACTACTGTCTAGCTCCCCGTGCCCCTTCAATGTCCACAGCAGCTACAGCAAGTTGATTAAGACATAAGCCAGAGCCAGGCGGTGGTGGCGCACGCCTTTAATCCCGGCACTCAGGAGGCAGAGGCAGGCGGATCTCTGTGAGTTCTAGGCCAGCCTGGGCTACAGAGTGAGATCCAGGTCAGGCGCAAAGCTACACAGAGAAACCCTGTCTCAAACCCCCGCCCCCCCAAAAAAAGACATAAGCCAGATCACAGCTTTCTTTTGGTCAGTCCCTCCCAAGAGCTTCCCAGATCAATAACACAAAGCCCAGCCATCACAGCCAGGCGAGATGTCAATCACCTGCCCAGCTCAGCCCGAGCTCCTCTGTGACCACTCAGCTCCATCCCCACTGGCGTCCCTTCTGGACTGACCTTCGTGGGCTGCTTCTAGGTACCTGGCCCTGTGTTAAGTACTTTACATGTAGCGCGTCACTGAATTCTAACGAAAATCCTGACGTGGCTATTTTCTTTACTATGCAGAAGAGGAAAGACCCGAGGTTTGGAGGGATCAAGTGACATGAGGAAACCTTTGAAGCTCACACTACTACCTTTCAGGATGTCCTGGGAAGGAAAGGGTTTGTTTGGCTTACAGGTCACACTCCATCATCAAGGAATGCCAAAGCAGAAACCTGGAGGGCAGAACTGAAGCAGAGACCATGGAGGAACACCACTAGCTGGCTCCCTTCCTAGGCCTGGTCTCAAGCTTAGCCAGCATATTCATTCCCTCCCCTACCCACTCCCCAGCTTAGACAGGGTCTCTCCATAGCCCTGGCTGTCCTGGGACTCAGAGCCGCCTGCCTCTGCCTCCCCCGAGTGCTGGGATTAAAGGCGTGCATGGTGCCTGGCCCTCCAACCAGTGTTCTTACACACCCCAGGCCCACCGGCGGCCCAGGGATGGACTGGGCCTCCAACAGACATGCCCACAGGCCAATCTGATGGAGTCAATTCTCCAGTTTAGTTCCTGCTTACCAGTAACTCTCCATTTGTGTCAAGCTGGCAGCCGAAGCTAACTATGACACACAGCTGAATTCAACACAGCAGGCCTGTAGCAGGACGGATTGTGGAGTTGGGGGAGACGGAAGAGACCTGTGTACAACCCACACTTGTCCTCACCTGGTTTTCAAGGCTTTCACACAGATCAGTTTGTTCACTCTCTCCACAGAGCCAGCCACAGACGCAATGAGCTTCTCTTCCCCCATGTATGTCCCATGGCCCCTGTTGAAAGACAAGGCCACAAAGAAAGGATAGCGTGTTACACTGGAGGTGACCTCTCCCAGCTAGAAGAACCTAACGGGCTCCTCCTGCCCTGAGCCTGATGCACTCCTCAGAGTGGACATCTCCCTCATCCTAAACAGGGCAGTTCAGGTGTCACCTTCCAACAACCTCCCTCCAGGATCTCCGGCAACACAGGAGTCCATTCCCAGCCGCCCCCCTGACCCTGCCCTCCCTCATCCACTGCAGTTACAACTTTCTGATGGCATTTCCTGTTTGTGTCTCCTCGATAGACCGTAAACTCCACCAGGGCATAGGTTTTCACTTCTGTACCCCAACCACACAGGATATGTTGAAAATACGAAGGAATGAATCCTAAGAGTTCTACCATCCAATAACCTTAAGCTTAAAGCTTAGAGGCAACGCTATAAACGTTTTAACCTCATTTGTACCCAAAAAAGGGAAGAACCTGGTGTGGTAGTCACACCTCTGAGTCCACAACTTGGGAGGCAGAAGCAGGGGGATCTCTCATTTCCAGGCCAGAGTGGTCTACAGAGTGAGTTCCAGGACAGCTAGTGTTACAGTGAGGCCCTGTCTCAGAGTGATAGAGAGATAAACATGCAAAAGGGAGAGACTGGCTACCTAACAGAGTCATCTTTGGTGGTAATACAATGCGAATTTGCTTTTCTGCCCTACTGTTCAGTTCATATGATCCTCACTGCCCTACCAACTGCTGTTGTCGCCGCTGTCTTCAGGGTGGGGACACCGACCTTAACACGGTGCTACGGCCAATAACAGTAACGATGGCGGCTGTCCGGCTCCGTACTCTGCCCTAACTACCACGACACGCTGGCCTTTCCATGATAGGTTTGTACACCTGGGTGCATCTAGCACTGTGTTGGCTCAAAACCCCCCAAATCACTGGTTCAAAACCGGGCTCCTCGTTGAGGTGACACTGAGGGAGGTGACCAAACCAGCCTACTGTCCCTTAGAGGGCTGTAAGGAGGGTCCTGCTCCCAGCTCCCCCCAGTTCTCCCTCCCCAGGAAGGCTCAAAACTCCTGTTTCAGGCTGAGGACCCAAGAGTTTCGGACGCCCTAGGTCAAATGAGAGTCAGGGCTGAGACAGGGTCACCCAAGATGAAGAGAGTCAGAAGCAAGAGGCTCGGAACGGAGGGGGCTAGTGTGGGTGCTAGGATGTGTCCCGGGTACCCCAGTAACTGAGATACAAGGGGACGGGAAGCCGGGCGGCCGGGGCAGCAGGCCACGTGCAGGGCTCTGCAGCCGCCTCCTGAGGCCGTGGGCCCCCCAAATCCTCACGTACCGCATGAATCCTGTGTCCGTGGTGATCGTGTCCCCCGGTACCACCAAGTGTTTCTTGGAGTCGCGGCCCAGGCTCTCACTGAGAGGTTTGCGAGCCTTAGGAAGCCTCATTTCCATCGCCATCTTGGCGCCAATGACTTGCGCAAGCGCAGCTCTACTCTCGGTGGAACAACTCCCGCCCACCTTCAGAGCAGTGACCAATAGGGATGCATAGTGTAGCGGCCATGTTGACTATTGGCAACTATTAAGTTAACCTGAGGGAGGGAGGAGGGCGCCAAACTGCCATATTTACTACTGGCAAGGAAGCACCCGTGGGATAATAATGAAGTCTCATGTGATTTGGTTTGGTGTTGAGATGCTGGTTTTGTTTTTGTTTTTGAGACAGGGTTGCCTCAAACTCTGTGTAGTCGAGGATAACCCTGCTGAACTCTTGATCTTCCTGCCTCTACCTCCCAAGATCTGGGATTACACGAGTGTGAATAGGTTATGGTTTTGTGGTTGTGGTTGTGGTGGTGGTTTTCGATTTTGATTAGTTTGTTGTTTTATGTGTATAACAGTTTTGCCTGTATGTATATCTCTGTACTACTTGAGTGTCTGGTGCCCACAGAGCCCAAAAAGGGGTGGTAGATCCCCTGAAATTGTAGTTACAGATGTTTGTGAAATGTGAGATGTGGGTGCTGGGAATCAGAACCAGGTCCTCTGGAAGGGCAGCCAGTGCTCTTAACCACTGAACCATCTCTCCAGCCCCAGGTTTAGGTGTTTTTGAGACAGGGACTCATATAGTCCAGGATGATCTCAAACCAGCTGTGTAACCCAGGATGTCTGTGAACTCCATCTCCTCCTCCACCTCCCTAGTGCTGGAATTACAGATGTGAACCGTCATACCAAGCTGTAGTATTAGTTTTTGCCCAAACTATTCCATATTCATCATTCTATTTATTGTTGGCCAAGTCTGGAGATTGAGAAGTGAACCTTGAGTTTTTCCATCCAACTCTAAGCCACTATAATCTTGTGTGTTATAGGCTGGAGATCAGGACTGGGAGTGAGATTTACAGAACCCACCATCTGAGCAAAAGGTAGAGCCCTGTGAATACTGTCCCTCGAGGGCCTTGTATTCTATGGTAGAGCTGCCCCTTAGGGGCTGGTTTGGGTCCTTTCCTATTGCCCCCTTGGCTCTCACTGTGCTTTAGGAAGGACCTCTTCTGAGTGAACAAGAGAGTGTTTCTTTTGAAAGATGACTATTGGGCCAGGTGGGGGTGGCACATGCCTTTAATCCCAGCACTTGGGAGGCAGAACCAGGAGGATCTCTGTGAATTTGAGGCCAGCCTGGTCTACAGAGTGAGATCCAGGACAAGCACCAAAACTACACGGAGAAACCCTGTCTCGAACAACAACAAAAAAAAAAAGAAAGAGAGAGAGAGAGAGAGAGAGAGAAAGAGAGAAAGAGAGAGAGAAAGGAGGGAGGGAGGGAGGGAGGGAGGGAAGGAAGGAAGGAAGGAAGGAAGGAAGGAAGGAAGGAAGAAAAAAGAAGAACACAAAGAAACCCTGTCTCGAAAAACTAAAAAAAAAAAAAAAAGAAGAAGAAAAAGAAAGGTGACTGTTGTAAAACCAGCCACACGTGGCAAGGCAAGTGTATTTGGCAGGGAGGCCACACGTATACACAACACAAAGATCTTTTGCTTATACTCACTTATACAGACCAAGCGTTCTCTGATTGGATGCTGTTCAGTAGTGCATGGAAGATAGGACAGATGTTTCCTGTGGCTTGATCTGAGCCTCCTTTTCAACAGAAGCGTTTCCCTGGTCCTTGCTTCCCACCATTCACTAATTCCCATTCCCCCTGGCCCTGCAAAGTTTGAAGCTCACTGAATTTGTCTTTTGTTTGTTTGTTTTGAGAGGAAGTCTCTCTGTGTAGCCCTGCATAGCCTAGACTTGCTAGGTAGACCAAGCTGGCCTTGAACTCACAGAGAGCTGCCTGCCTCTGCTTCTGCTGGGATTGAAAACATGCATCCCCATGCCCTGTCTCGGCACATTGAATTTCAACCTCACAGAATCAGCAACATAGTTCTCCACTCAAAAGAAATTTGAGTGGACCCTAAAGAAAATTAAACTAAATCTGGCTCTCACTCTCCTGAAGACCCACCTGGCCAACTGTTTATAGATCCCCACAGGGTCAGCACTTCTCACCCCCACCAATGCTGACAACTCCATTTATCAGAAAGCCAACCCTGCCAGGAAGTCAGTGACATAGTCACCAAGCAGCCAAAGTCCCACCTTTCTCCCCGCCAGGAGGAGGCCAGGCAGAGTCCAACTGCTGAGTCCGCTGTGGCCGTAAGAGGGCGATGTCCTCCTTTGAGACAGCCCGACCCAAGCTGCAAGGCCGCAGGGGGCATCCCTAGACCAGAGCACTGGTCCAGCTTCATCCTCCAGGGGAAGACACTGACTTAACTCTGCTCATCCTCACAGCACTCAGGAGCCTGTGCCAAGGAGATGACATTGTGGACACCTAATTATAGAGAAGGAAACTGAGGCCCAGGAGGGTTAGAATTCACATAGCAAAGGCAGCTAGCTTCATTCAGTTCCATCTGCTGCCATTTTCCCCAGAGTCCTTGCCATTAACCAGATGTCTTCCAAGTGCTCACGGGCCCTTTGCTGAGTCCTCATGGCCCTGTGCTGAATGCTCCACAGGCCCTGTGCTGAGTGCTCACTGGCCCTGTGCTGAGTGCTCACTGGCCCTGTGCTGAGTGCTCCACAGGCCCTGTGCTGAGTACTCCACAGGCCTGTGCTGAGTGCTCATGGCCCTGTGCTGAGTGCTCACTGGCCCTGTGCTGAGTGCTCCACAGGCCTGTGCTGAGTGCTCCACAGGCCCTGTGCTGAGTGCTCCCCAGGCCTGTGCTGAGTGCTCCACAGGCCTGTGCTGAGTGCTCCCCAGGTCTGTGCTGAGTGCTCCCCAGGCCCTGTGCTGAGTGCTCCCCAGGCCCTGTGCTGAGTGCTCACTGGCCCTGTGCTGAGTGCTCCCCAGGCCTGTGCTGAGTGCTCACTGGCCCTGTGCTGAGTGCTCCCCAGGCCCTGTGCTGAGTGCTCACTGGCCCTGTGCTGAGTGCTCCCCAGGCATGCTGCTTACTCCTCAGTCATCTCATTCAGGAAGAGCTCAGGCTATTCCCATGACTGCCCAAGGACACTGAGTCCCCCAAACAAACCTGGAGCTGGGACTAGAACTCAAGACGTTAAATTCCCATCCAGCTGCTCTCTCTGCTCCATGCTTCCCTTTCAATGGCAGTCGTGCAGTGGGCACCTGGGCACAGCTGGACACAGCTGCACATCTGGTCGTGGGCTTCTCAAACACAGGAACTAAGCTCTGCCTGGTTTTGTTTGTATTCTACCTTGCATTTTACTTGACAACTTCTGTTTGTGTGTGCTCACGTACACCCAGGACAACCTGCAAAGCAGGTCCTCTCCCTCCACCGCTCAGGCTCCTGGGATCCAGATGTTGTCAGGCCTCACAGCCAGCACCCCACCATCTCATCAGCAAGAGTGCAGTCCAGAAGTCTGTGATTTCAATGGCAAGTCAGGTCTACTATATTTAGTGTGCTTGTGTTTAGATGTTTAGATGTGCACAGATGTGTACAGATGTGTACCTCTGTACAGAGGTCACAGGTCAACATTAGGTGTTGTCCTCCACCTTATATTCAGACAGCAGTAAGGAGATAGACTCAGCTCCACGCTGTCACCTCAGCAGCCTGAGGACTGCCTTATTCTTTTAGGAAGCTTGACTTAGGTCAAGCAAGGGTTTGTGGCTTTGACACAGAAAATAATTTCAGGACTAGCTAGTGTGAGACAGAATTGAAGATTTTATTAAGACATTTTAATAAAGTCTTTAAGCACAAGGGTTATGTTAGGAGAAAGAGGTACACTCAGAAGTGGTACATGCCCAGGTATGGGCACGGGCCCTCAATGCAGAATCAGGATCCGTTTGTCTAGCATTAGCCGTGTGTACCATTCTCGTGGCTTTCAAGTTACACAACAAAAGGTTGTTAGGAAAACTCTCCCCATTTTTTCTCTCTTTTGATGAGTAAAGGGTGGCTCAGATGATGCTTTGGATGGAATTATGATCTGGTAAGGGAAATCAGGAACCACTAGGATTGTACAGCAGGTTTAGGGCATGGCCTTACCCTGTAAATGGAGTTTCTGATGGAATTTCTAGAAAACTGCAGGTTTATAGCTGGGAAGGGAGAAAGCTCTGAAGCAGATTTTAACTGCCCTGGAATTCTTCCTTCCCTGTTGACAACAGGTTTCAACCAGATTCCCGTGAGAGGGGCTCTTTTTTCCTCTAATATCCCCATGGTGTCCCTCTGCCTTTCTATCCTGCCAACTTGGAGCTCATCACTTCAATCAGCTACTTACACAGCACTGGGTTACAGACACTTGCCACCACACCGTCTTCTTATGTGGGTACTGAGGACCGAAACTCAGCTCTTCATGTCTGTGCAGCAAGCATTTTGCCAACAGCCGAGACACACACACACACACACACACACACACACACACACACACACACTATCCAAACTACACACAGACAGTAAGAGGGAGTTTTAAAAACTGGATCAACTAGGCAGTGGAGGCACACGCCTTTAATCCCAGCACTCAGGAGGCAAAGGCAGGCAGATCTCTGAGTTCAAGGCCAGCCTGGTCTACAAAGAGAGTTCCAGGACAGCCAGGGCTACACAGAGAAACCCTGTCTCTAAAAACAAGCAAAAAACAAATACAAACAAACAAAACCCAGATCAACTTAAAATCATCCTCCTGCCTAACACTCTGGGCAACCTCCTGACACCAAGAGTAAAATCCAAATGTGTCAGCTCAGCCCCTGCTTGTCTCATCCTCCATCTCCTCTGCATCCTCGGACACTCTGTCCTCCCTTGGTTCCATGAGCACCACCACTCCTTGCTAGCTCAAGTCCAGTTTGTTGTGGGCTCTTTCTGCATGGACCCTCTTCTTGCATGGGGCGCTTTCTTCTCACCCATGTCCACATCCTCCTGGAGAAGGTGCTCCCAGCCTCCTTGCCTGGACAAACCCTCCAGGCCCTCTTTTGACACTGATCCTGGTTCATTTCTTTTTTTTTTTTTAATTAATTAATTTATTTTTAATGTATGA